CGATATATATCGTTTTGTAGATTAATTCTTCAAACTATTGCTGTTGCATCTCCACTTTATGCCATATATGCAAGTCTTGTTACTCGGCATATTCTGAACGTTTCAGTCAAGAATAGTTAGGATTTATTAAGAAAATTGCAATACTGTTTTTCATAATTTCTTTAAAGTTACAGTTTTTATGGAAGTTATTGTCTAAAGCAGTTCTTTTAAATGTTTTTTTTCATGGAAATGACCTATGAACACTTCTCTATCAATGGTTTAAAGAAAACCAGTTCATTTGCTTCAAAGATGACAAAGATATTCAAGTTCTTGTTCGGTAAAGCCCTTTCGACCAATTCAATACACTTTGATAGTGTTTTATACAAAGCATTTCTACAAGGAATAATATCGATGGAAGGATTTTGTAACAATTATCTATATTTATCTATTTTTCTTTTGAGATTCTAGTTGATCAATTCAAGAAAAAAGAGTTTTCATTTTATAATTTATAGTAATATTGTCAAATAGTGCGAATGATTCTATAAAGGAATCTTTATTAGTTAAATATTATGAAATGCTGAACAGATGTGGATATGTAAGGATTTTCTCGAGTAAGAGTATCATATGCCATTAAATAAACAACAATTATAACGAAAAGTACTAGAACTAAGGCATCAGTAATTAAAACTATTTTCTCTTGCTTGGCTTTGATAACTAAACTGAACTAGAAGATCGTTAACTGTGTCTTTCTTTTTTTTCTTAAGTAACGAAATGATCTTTTCAGTGTCAAAGTTTTTCGTGGGAAAATAGACAAAATAATTACTATTACCTTCTTCTTCAGATGCAAATCAGTTAAAAAAATGAAGAAGAAAAGTTTTCAAAATAACATGTCAACATATGTGACCGGTTTAAGATTTTAGCCAAGTTCTTTCGATTATGATCCCAAGATCCTTATGTTCCATGATGAATTAGTCTTTAGAGTTATATTTTGTTGTTGAATTCTGGAATGTACATTTGAAATGAAAGTCAAGATGTGGCGAATTTTGCATAGCAAGACATTTAAATACTAATTATTTATCAAAGAAAATAACTTGGAGGAATAAATGTGAAAAGATTTACAAAATAAAGATTGAAGTTTGCATAATCCAGTGTGGAACAGACATTAAAAAATTAGTTACCACATCTCATAAACACTTCGCTTGAAAATTTTTTTTTATTTCAAAAGAATGATATCACTTTCTTTTAAATAGAATTAATGAAAAAAATCATGAAAATTTTTAATTATGTGATCATTTAAGCAATGCCATGTTTATAACAATAGATATAAACTATATCTATAAGTACGTAAAAAAGAGCTACAAAAAAAAACAGAAATATCTTAATTATTCATCATTATATCTGTGTTGTAATTGAACAATAAGTTCTTTTGGTGCTATGACAAAACCTTCTTTCAGTTGTTTGAATGGTTGATGCGTTTTATTTCCACATTGAATAAAAGAGTATGTTTTGAGAAGACGAACAAGAAGTATTTTTATCTCAATCAAAGCAAAACGCATTCCAACACAATTTCTTGGTCCAGCTCCAAATGGAATCCATGCCATTGCATGTCGTTTTGTAGCAAATCGTTCAGGATAAAATATTTGCGGATCAATAGGACCCCACAAATCAGGATCATAATGTAAACGATACATATCAATAGCAATCCGTGTACCAGCTGGAATCGTACCAATACCTTTGATATGACAATCTTCTGAACTTTGACGATTGATTACCATCGGTAATATCGGATACATACGAAGTGTTTCTCGAATAAACATATCTAAATATTCCATTTGTGATACTGTATCATAAGATGGCATATCATCTTCTGTTTTAGAAATGAAATTAGCATCGATCTCATCTTGTAATTTTTGTTGTTCATTTGGATGAGTTGCAAGAACATAAGAAATATAACTAAGTGCTGTGCTTGTTGTTTCATAACCAGCAATTACTGAATAAACCAGAAAGAACAAAGTAAACGAAGAAAATATCATGAAAAACACCCACTGAAAAGAAAAATATTGGCTGCAATTTCATATCTGGTAAGCTTTCGATTGAGTAGTGGTTCAATATCTTCCTTATTTTTATTTTCTGTATGCGACGATTGGATATCCTGAAAAGAACACATAAATATATCCAAAAGATTATCCATAGTAAATACATGAAATTCTCGACAAAGTTTTAGATTTTGTTATCATAATAAGTATTTTTAATCCTTTTTAGATATACACGTCCAAGTGTAACACAAACACAAAAAAACAAATAATCATACTTGAATACTATCTTCATCTGAGACTGATTCAAGCATTAGCTGGAGAAGATCAACGCGATTCATCGAACCAAATTTTTCACGAGTATTAATGAATTGACGTGCTTCTTGCAGAATCCATGTAGAGGGATTTTCTTGAATAAATTTTTTTGCTATCGGAATATAATACCGAAGCCAATAACGTATATTACCACCATGTATATAGATAGCTCTCCAAAGTTGATTAAGTTCAGTAATAAACATATTTAATAACATAATAAGCCTAATATTACGATTTTCACCGAACATTTGTTGAGAGTAAATTAAATATGGATCATTAATATTATTTTGCATATTTGTATCAAGTCCAAAGCCACATGACCATATAGTATCCATGGTAAATCGTTTATAATATGCATAGATATCAAATGGTTGACCTTTATTAGATTCTTCAGACATTTTTTTCATGAACGTAAGAACACTTCGATGAATGAGTGGTGTCATTTGTTTGAGTTTTGCAGACGAAAAAATTGGATTTATAATGAAGCGATGTCGTTTCCAGCGAAGACTGGTAGCACTGAAAAGATGTACGTCTTTGGATTTTGGATCTTGAAGTGGAAAAGTACGGCGTGAATGAAAATTTGAAAATGATTTAATAAATACATCTTGTAATATATCAGGATCAGATATAACTAAAATTGGTGTATGTCCTTCGAAGTAACCAAAAATACGACCATATGTTTCTGTCCAATTTTTAATAGTTAAAGATAATCGTCTAGTTTTGATAACCTCTAGAAAGTTGCCGAAAAAAAGTATTGGTGGGGGACCAGGAATATTGAGATTTTTAAAAAATTCATATGCTTGTTGAATATAGAATAAATAAGCGATAATAACAAAGAATAACACTGCCAATAGAATACTAGTAATAAGTAACATATTTCTTTTGTTGAATTCGTATGCACAACAGAACGATAACAAACATTAGTTATCTAGACGTAAGTAATGAGTTTTACCTGGTTTCATGCGTTTGTTTTCTTTCACCTGATATACATCATTTGTTCGTTTTTATCTAGATTATATTACTCGTTATTATTATTGTCAGTTGCCACATTTCTTTTTACATTCACAATACTTTGTATATATCTACAGTAATTTATTGTAGTTGATAAAGTGAATGATAAAAAGAGAACATATCATGTTGCTAGGTAGTAGATTTTCATATGAATTACGTCAACTTTCTCATTTCAAATCTATTTGTAAAACAACCTAAGAATAGACATGTTGTGACAAAGAATTCTTTTTCTTTGTTTTATGAAATAAATGTTTTATAGAAGGTTATCATATTTTGTAGTTTTTATCGAAGATTGCGTAATAAAGTCTATGATTCAGTTCATTTTGTTGTAGTTATTGAGAAACATATAAACGCATCGATTGATTGTCTGAACCATTTTTATTCTTTTATTGTCTGGAGACATTGCTTTGCACCAGTATGTTTGAGAAATCAATATAGAAATGATCATACAATTTACTTCCTACATTATTACCTACTATTTCTATCCTAATCTAGCTAATCAGCTAGCAAAATATTGTTCGATATGATTCATCTTAGAGCTTCTTTCTGTTCTTTCGCCAGCACGAAAAGAACCTCATTTTTAGCAAATTTTTTAACTATTGTATAAGATACCTAGTGTCCTATTCGTATACATATAATATTTCACGTTTTCACGAGAAAACGACTTAAACTGGAAAGAAACAATATAATATTTCTAATGTTTTCAAGATTGATAACTGCTTACATATGATTTATCTAAGATATAAATGTCTTTTCGATTTGTTTTAGAAAGAGATGGCTTCTTAAGAGTGACCAGAAACAATATTGAAAAGAGAAGTTCAACTCGGCACAATCATGTTCAACAAAATGTCAATTAAAAACTAAGATTTATAATTTCTAAAAGATGCCAAAATCATTGATGCAAGATATTTTTGAAGGAAAGAGTAGAAACAATATGCACGTGCATTGAGCCATTAGTATTCTGTTGAATCTTTCATCATATTTTTAGAACCAGTTCGCATCAATAGTGAAAACCTTTATGTATCACGGCGAATAGGCAACTTTCTAAGCTGAAATAAATTCCATCCAACTGTAATTGTTTAGGAGAATATCTAATATATTGTGTCACTAGATGTATGTCATAAAAGTAGTCCGTTCGAAGAAAAGGTAATCTTGATTTTTTAATCAATTGAAAAAAATCATTTCAGACTTTCCAATATTATTAATGCGCTGTTTGTTAATTTAATTTTTTCGCAACAAAATATGGGATGACTCATGGGAAACTTCATTATTTTTTTTATTCTTTGTGTAAGGTGAAGCCGTTCACTTATTGACATTGTGGCGTGCTTTTTTTGTTTCGTTCCTTTTTTCTTTCATTTTCTCTTTATCAAGTCAACAAATTAATGGCGTCTTCATCGTCTAAAAAACCATGTTCGATAGAAAATGGTTGCAAACAAGCAGCGATCACCACTTGCGATGGGTGTTCACAAGCTTTTTGTTCTAAGCATTTCACTGATCATCGTAATCTACTCAATGATGAAATAAACAAAATCATTAGTGAACATGATGATCTGAAAAATTCACTTACTCAACAAACAAAAAATCCAACTTGTCATCCACTGATCAAACAAGTCGATGAATGGGAAACACAATCAATCTCAAAAATTCAACAACGAGCAAAAGAATTACGACAAGAGCTATCTGAATTAACGAAAAATGATACAAATAATTTATCACAGAAACTACAAGATTTAGCGAGAGAAATAAATGAATGTCGCGAACATGGTGATTTTCTGGAGATAGATCTTCGTCGTTGGAAAGAAACACTTGAAGATCTCAAACTAAATATAATTTCACCATCAAAAATAAATATCAATAGAGTGAATGAAAACACATTCATTCAGAATATCTCTGTGAATTTACAGAACAAGACAACAAACGAAGTATTTGAGAGAGTATGTAACAATTGTGCGCAGATTCAAGAAAATGGTCATATGGTTGTCCACGTCGGCTCTGATAGATACGTGGAAGTTCGTGGAAAGAATGAATACAACTCAGGGGTTCACAAAATTCGGCTATGCATTGAAGATTTCCCAGGACGATGGCTATTTTTTGGGATCAATTCTAAATCAACTCCTCTTACAGACAATTCTTATAGTGCAAAGTCAACATATGGATGGAGCAGCAATAACTATAGCTGGTCAAAGGGAGAACATAATAACATTACTTCAGTATATCCCATTGAGATGAAGAAAAATGATGTTATTGGTTTAATACTTGATTGTAACAATTTGAAACTATCAATGATCAATGAGCGAACAAAAACAAAACAGGAATTAACGATTGACATAAATTACTGTCCTGTACCTTGGCAGTTCCAGGTTATTTTGTACGAAAAAGACACTCGCATACATATTTTACAAACAGAGATTACATCTTGATCAATTATGGTTTCATTAGAAAGAATTGCAGTAGAAAGTGTGTGCACTACTCGTTCTTCTATTTTTGTATTTTCATATATAAAAAAGTATGGATAATAAGTTCATTGATTGAATATCTTAGATTGAAAGTTAACATGTTTCATTTCGTGCATAGAATAGAACAGAAAGATATAAGTATAGTTAATAAAATATAATTATTTTATCATTGATTTTAAGGTTCTTGAGTAGAAGCTGTGGAAAAAAAAGAATTCTAACAAAAGACTTCTACCAATAAAGAGAACTATATATTTTATTATGTAGATGCTCTTGTTCACATCAAAGGTTACAAGTTATTATCTTTGTTAGAATAATGCAGGAGTCTTATGATGAAAAATTCTGTCTGAATTTTTGAACATCAGGTAGTGTGCATATATTTCCGAGGATTATCTACAATCATACATGTTTTCTTACAGCTATGATTGAGATCCAGATATACGGTAATACTGGATTATAACAGATAGGTAAAGTTTCTTTCTTTCAAGTAAATTTTTAGATTTCATTGAAATATCTATAAACAACTAATCCTGAAATATTTGATAATGCTTATGAGACTAGCTGGCGTCACTGTAAAATGAAATAATATGACATGATGTATCTTTATATTAGCCTCAATTAGGATCATTATACAATTTCAATCATGAATGTAAACACTAAACGAAAGAATGAGTTCAATTTCAACATAGAGAATTATTTTTTATCTTGGTAGTTATGTGTCAATGTATATCAATTCATCAGTCAGGATAATTATTTCTTCAATGGTTTATTGGTTTTTAGAAATATTTATTCAATGTAAATATGAAGGTAGTAACCGAAGTATTTTTCCCACTCTATTGTGAGAATATTGCGCACAATATTTCTAAAATGATTAATATGTATGGATAATTCGTATCGTTTGATTTGAGATTCTAGGTGTTACATAAAAAAAAAGTTTTTTTTTTCTTTTATAATTTATCCAAATATTGTTGAAGAGTATGGATGACTACCAAAAGCATGTTATATCAGTTAAATATAAATTAATTCTAGACAAAGCTAGGCAAGTATAGATTTGATCGACTACTAGTACTTGTTCAGCTCTGATAATGGAGAAAGATTCAGAAACACAATGGTATCGACGCTTATCTGAATATTTACATTGGAATATATTTTTTTATTATGTTTCTACATGGTCGGTGTATTACCTATCCATAGGGTAGAAACGTAGGTGTATTGCATGCCAAAGTCAAATTAGAAGCATCATATTGATGATAAGATAGCCTTCTATTATAGTATGATGACTGCATATTACTAACTCATGTTTTTCCAATGAAAAAAAAAACCTGCAAAAATTTTTTACCAACAATATTAAATGCATAATTATTTTATTTAGTTTTTATTGAAAAAAAAAGTGGAAAATTCAATGTTTTCAATTAATTAATCATGTATGATGTTCATCTCGACGTTGTAATCGAACAATGACTTGTTTTGGTGCTATCACAAAGGTTTCTGTTAATTGTTCAAATGATTTCTGTGTTATGTCACCACAATCGACTATTGAATATGTTTTGAGAAGACGAACAAGTGCCATTTTAAGTTCAATCAAAGCAAAACGCATTCCAACACAATTTCTTGGTCCAGCTCCAAATGGAATCCATGCCATTGCATGTCGTTTTGTAGCAAATCGTTCAGGATAAAATGTATGCGGATCAATAGGACCCCACAAATCAGGATCATAATGTAAACTATACATATCAGCAGCAATCCGTGTACCAGCTGGAATCGTACCAATACCTTTGATATGAAAATCTTCTGTACTTTGACGATTGACTACTATTGGTGCAATGGGATACATGCGAAGTGTTTCTCGAATAAATATATCCAAGTAGACCATGTCAGATATTGTATCGTATGATGGCATATCATCTTGAGTTTCAGAAATGAAATTAGCATCGATCTCATCTTGTAATTTTTGCTGTTCATTTGGATGAGTAGCAAGAACATAAGAAATATAACTCAAGGCTGTACTTGTTGTTTCATAACCAGCAATCACTGAAAGAAAAATGAAATTTAAAGAATAGAATTAGTAAATTTAATTCACTGAAGAGAAAAATATTGGATACAATTTCATGTTTAGTAAGTTTTCGAATGAGTGGTGGCTCGATTTCTGTTTCTTCATCGGTAACATCAGTTGCTCGACCATCCTAGAAAATAGTATCGACGAATAGTTAACGTAATGACAATAGATAGTCTTGTAGATTTTTCAGCTACAATAATTGATATCTAAGAATCAAACAAGTTTTCCTAAAATTTCATTCTTTGGTTTTTATAAAAGATTCTGTTAAGATATTTAATAACGAAAAACCGTCAAGAATACTTTGACAGTGTGATATGTTTTGAAATAATTTCAAAATCTAAAAGATAAATGTATAACAATTATAGATCTTAAAGCTTAACACTTTTGCAACAAGGATCAAACTAATAATCTGATTTCAAATTTAATTTTTCACTTAATCGGGATTACTTTATGACGAAAACTTATTTAACAAAATTGTTTTCAGTTTTTCACCTGGGATATTTGAAAGGATAAAAATCAAATGATTTTACTTTATGAACAACGCTGCATAAATAACAACAGCATACTTCTAGGACACTTCAAGAACTTTGATTTATGCATAGTCTTAGTACCATTGAGAGATTACTTCCTGAAGAACTCAGTAAATGTCTATTATAGAATGTTTGATGAATAAATTTGAATCGATTAAGTTGGGTTGATGCTTTAAAAGAAAACAAAATCATCATACTTGAATTATTTCTTCATCCGATGCTGACTCTAACATCAATTGTAATAGATCAGTACGATTTGCTTGACCAGCTTCTAGATGTTTTTCCATCATTTTGTACGCTTGTTTCATAATCCATGTTGGAGGGTTTTCATTTATGAATCGTTTTGTTATTGGAATATAATGACGACACCAATAACTAATAGAACCTATTGATATATAAATAGCTCTCCAAAATTTATTCAATTCACTAATAAACAATGCTATAAGAACAATTAATCGAACATTGACTTTTTCACCGAATATTTGTTGAGAATAAATTAAATATGGATTATTAATATTATTTTGCATATCTGTATCAATACCAAAAGCACATGACCATATAGTATCCATGGTAAATCGTTTATAATATGCATAGATATCAAATGGTTGTCCTTTATTAGATTCTTCAGACATTTTTTTCATGAACGTAAGAACACTTCGATGAATGAGTGGTGTCATTTGTTTAAGTTTAGCTGATGAAAATGTTGGATTAATAACAAACCGTTGTCGTTTCCAACGAAGTCCTGACGCAGTAAACATATTTACTAGTTTTGCATTTTGATCAGACAATGGGAAAAGTCTTCGAGAATGAAAATTTGAAAATGATTTAATAAATACATCTTGTAATATATCAGGATCAGATATAACTAAAATTGGTGTATGTCCTTCGAAGTAACCAAAAATACGACCATATTTTCCTGTCCATTTTTTGATGGTTAAAGATAATCGTCTAGTTTTGATAATCTGTAGAAAGTTCCCAAAAAAAAGTATTGGTGGGGGACCAGGAATATTGAGGTTTTTAAAAAATTCATAGGTTGGTCGAATATGCCATAAATAAGTAATAACTGTAATTAGAAGTAATGCAAGTAATATGCTTGTAAGTAAAAACATATTTTATTTCTCGTACGTTTGACAAAAACACGTTTCTTTTTCTCTTTGTTCTTTCTGTAATGCCGGCGATTCGCACTTGCTGTTTTTGCTTTCTTTTGTTTTGACTCGCATTTTCTACTGCTCCCTTCATATTTTTTTTATTTCGCTCGTCCTCTTCATACAATAATTGTCGTCAGAGTTACATTAAGACATATTTTGCACTAAGTGATGCTAGTATAGAAAAAAATGCACGTGAAAGGTAGAATTCGACCTAACACGTGATCCTCAGTTTTTTAATAATACAAATTTCTTATGAAAAGATAATATTTATTTAGATTCAATTAAATGAAATAATTATATATAGTATTTATTCGAAAGGAAATTGTATAAAATTTATTAAGTCTATATAAAGATTAATTATAATGTTCATTTCGACGTTGTAAACGAACAATAACTTGTTTTGGTGCAATTACGATATATTCTTTGAGATTTTCGAATGGTTTACATGTTTGATCACCACAACCGACTATTGAATATGTTTTAAGAAGACGAACAAGTACCATTTTGATTTGAACAAAAGCAAAACGCATTCCAACACAATTTCTTGGTCCAGCTCCAAATGGAATCCATGCTATTGCATGTCGTTTTGTAGCAAATCGTTTAGGATAAAATATTTGTGGATCAATAGGACCCCACAAATCAGGATCATAATGTAAATGATGTCAACTGCAATACATGTACCAGCTGGAATCGTACCAATACCTTCGATATGAAAATCTTCTGAACTTTGCCGATTGACTACTACTGGTACAATGGGATACATGCGAAGTGTTTCTCGAATAAACATATCTAAATATTCCATTTGTGATACTGTATCATAAGATGGCATATCATCTTCTGTTTTAGGATCGAAATGAATATCAATATGTTCTTGTAATTTTTGTTGCTCCTTTGGATGAGTTGCAAGAACATAAGAAATATAACTAAGTGCTGTACTTGTTGTTTCATAACCGGCAAGCACTAATATTCAAAAACAGTATAAAAAAAAATCATCAATACTTAACTTTAGAACTACTGAATAGATAAATGTTAGATGCAATTTCATGTCTAGTAAGTTTTCGAATTAGTGGTGGCTCGTTATCTTTCTCCTCTTTTTTCACTGCAGATGTTTGACCATCCTGAAAAGCAACAATAGTTAACTTTGTGCTTTTTTTCTTATATAAAAAAAAAAAACTTTGAGTATCATACTTGAATAAAATCCTCGTTCGATGCTGATTCAAGCATTAATTGCATTAAATCAATTCGATTCATTGGACCAACTTGTTCACATTTTCCCATCATCTTATATGTTTGCCTTATAATCCATCTGTATGGTTCTTCTTGAATAAATTTCTTTGCTAATGGACACATACATGAAAACCGGTATCGTATATTATTGTTCATATGATGAAATTTAATCCAGACATTACTTAATTCTTTGATAAACACAGATAAAAGTACAAACACTTTGACAGCATTTTCTTCATCGAATACAGTTTGTGAATAAACTAAATATGGATATTAATATTATTTTGCACATCTGTATCAATACCAAAAGCACATGACCATATAGTATCCATAGTAAATCGGTTATAATATGCATAGATATCAAATGGTTGACCTTTATTAGATTCTTCAGACATTTTTTTCATAAACGTAAAAACACTTCGATGAATGAGTGGTGTCATTTGTTTAAGTTTAGCTGATGAAAATGTCGGATTAATAACAAACCGTTGTCGTTTCCAACGAAGACCAGTAGCGCTAAACATATGTACTCGTTTAGAATGTTGTTCTTCAAGTGGGAAAGGACGGCGTGAATGGAAATTAGAAAATGACTTAATAAATATATCTTGTAATATATCAGGATCAGATATAACTCAAAATTGGTGTATGCCCTAGGAAATAACCAAAAATACGACCTAATTTTTCTGTCCATTGTTTAATTGAAATTGATAATCGTTTACTTTTAACGATATCGAAAAAATTACCAAAAAAAATAATTGGTGGCGGACCAGGAATATTTAATCGTTTGAAAAATTCGTTGATTTGTTGGAGATGCAAAAAATACGCAACGACAACAACTAAGAGACCAGTAATCAGGATGCCTGTTAGTACTAACATTGTCATTTTGACTGCAACTAGTAATACTTGAGCAAAAACAATCGTATGCTCTCTAGAATAAGGCCATACGCTTTCTTTCGTTCTATATCTTGTACGTATCAGGTTCCTTTTTTTGACGTTTTATGTAAGACTCGGTTCTTTTTTTAGTATGTACTTGCACAACATTATCTTTATTACTTTTCAAAATAGTTTCTTTATGATAAAATTATTTGAAAATAAACCTATTACAAAATAATATTATAACCCCAATTTGATGCAAGACTAGTAACTATTAAAGCACGCATATTGTTAATTATATGATTTGTTTTCGTAGTCTGACCAAATAGAATTTGATCATTTATAGATGTTATTTGCTTATAGTAGATATTCTTTTGTTTGTTATAATAAATTTTCAAATTTTTTTTTTCATGAAAATTTATTTTAACTTATATTTTACAAGTGAATTTTTGGGTATTATATCAAATACATTGTTTTTTCTATAAATTAAACTAGTATATTGATATTTTAGACGTGATATCCGTTATGTTTGTTCGTGATTTATCAAAATGAAATGATTCTGATGAAATATTTGTCAAATTTGTTATTTAACACTTATTTTGTTAATCATGAATTAATTAAACTAGATTTTTCCATATATTTTACATTCATTTCTTCAAACCTTGTTATTAACATATATTTTATTGTAATGCTATGATCATCACATTTTATTGTAAGAAACATATTTTGAGATGGAAATAAATTTTCTTCTAACTTAATGCGACCTAAATGAAGAGAGTTATCATTTTTAGCATAAAAATTTGAAAGAAAAACGAAATTTACCATAATATGATACACGTAAATCAAAAGTACATGCAATCTACAATAAGCTCTCTCAGTAAAAAGATATGATAGTTGAATTAATTTTTTAGAATTGTTTTTTTTCTGATTGCATTATTCAGTGATAAAATCATATTATTGGTAATCAGTTCTAAAAAAGACTTGAACGTCTATTATTAATAGTAATTGAAAAGTAATCTGACGTACATTTTGAATATAATAAAATTATACTGTTTGTTCATTTTTATTTGTATTGATATTAAGTTCGTCGATATTAGAATAAGAAACATATATATTGTCAGTAAGTTTGCTTAAAACTTATGCATATTAATATTAAAATCGAATTAAAGTTATCTGTGATACAATTTGTTCCAAGTTACATATGAATAAAAATCTAAAATACTTCATGAATATTCAAAATATGAAAAGAAGAACTTTTAAGACATACCTTGAAGTGTATGCGTCAGTTTTTGCCAAAATACTTACTTAGGATTATCATAATCAAGTGAATTTAAAAAATCAATAGCTAACTGATAGTTTAAAAGAATCATTTGTAAAGCTAGAATAAATTATTTGAAATCAAATTGATGCTACATATTTGTTTGTTCACTAGCATCAACGATTGTATGACGCATAATCATATAGTTAAGTCTAACTTCTCCATTAAAATCTGTACTACCAGCTTAGTCTTTTTATTTATAAAAATACGCTTTTAATTTGAGAAAGAACAACTACGATGCATATATGCCATTTGCTATTGTTCTATTAATACGAAACTGTATTTCAATATATTTCATACGGAACAGAAGCAACATGACTAGTTGAACTCAATATTGGTATAGATATTGGATAAAAAGCATTTATTAAAATGAACAAATTGAACATGAAGAAGATTAAAAGAATCATAGTTATGTATTCATTATTTGGGAAATAACCTTTCAAGAGAAAAACAGTATAGGATACTTCTATTGTAATTTGATCGAATGAGTTAATTTTTCTTTCGAATGATGGGAAGAATTTCAAGTTTTTATTCATCATCAAAAAGTTTATTAATATCGTTTATAAATATTATTAAAAGAGAAAAAATAAACAATAAATTTTAGGCTTCTGTAAAATTGTTCGTTGTTTAAAGAATTTTTTTACTGATCATTTCTATGAAAAAGATTTTCGATTTTGATCGGCAACTTGATAGTGTTGGATTCAACATAGTTAAAGCCATCAAATAGCTCTGGAGTCGAATACATCAACGTAGAAGTTCTCAAATTTCTGCATTGTTTATAATTAATTATCGGTGAAAGTATCCATAAAAAAAAACAAAACAGTTAATGGTGTTCGTTTTCAAGTGTGTCAATAAACTTCTAATGTTGCTCTGTAATCAGGAAAACTAATTAGTTCAATCCGTCAAAATACAATGCTTATATCGGATTATTATTTTTTTTTGTAAGATCATTTCTGAGAAACTCAGTGTATATTTTTATTTGTCAACTACTTGAATCAATCAATTAGTTATATAGTTGATATGATTGAATCAAATCGTGCGTATATTACTAATTTTCATAGATCATTATCATGAATAGAAAGATTCTGTTTTGATTCATAACAAATATTAAGAAAGACAGTATAATTAGTGAAAAGTAAACGACCTTCTTGTTTGATCAAATCTTGTCTTTTATTATGACAAAGAAAAGAAATGTAATATATAATAATAGATAAAAATAAACGAATAATTAGAAAGTAATTGGAAATAATCTATGAGTTGGTGGTGCAGTCAAATCTAATAAATAGGAAAAAAAAAGAAAATACAATTTAATTGAAGAAAAAAAAAGATATTCAAACTTACCACTTTCAAACCGAACATTTATTGGACGATTATAATTTTTAAGAATATCTTCTGCTGTTCGAAAGATTGGTTGTTTAAGAAGAAAATTAATATTTACTTTAAAAGAGAAGAAAATGTTAATAATATAAACTCTTCTATTTTTTGATTACCTTGATTAGGTAATAAATCAGCTCGTTGTTGATCAAAATTTGCAAGAACATCACCTGATCGTTCCTTTTTATATTAAAAAACAAATATATGTAAAATAATATTAAATATTCAATTATTACATTTCGTTGTCGTTCTTCAGCTTGATATCTTGCTAATCTTAATAATTTCCCAAGAACTTCAAGAGCAATTGCTTCTGGTGTTTCAGCTGGTTGAGCATCAAGATCTTCGACAGCTAATTTAATACTTTTAAATGACCAATTTGGATAAAGTCTTGTTTGAATCTAAAGAAAAATAATCATAATTTTAAATGTAATTATTTTCAAAGATATAAACATTATAAGATATATTAAGAATTGATGCTTCTCGTATAAGGCCATCACGACTATTAATCGATTGATTAAGATCTTCAAGAATAGATTTCATTGCTGAATTTGTTATTTCAAGATAATGAACGAAAAGAGTTGGAAAAATAAGTAATAGACCAGTAGCCGGTTGAACACTATCGTCTTCAGGTGTATTATGTTGATGATTATCGAAAGTTTTTTCAATCGTAATTGGTAAAGAATTTATAAATTTTTGATAATAATCTATGAATAAAAATTGAATAAATTCAAAGAAGATAAAAAAAAAACAAAATTCAAGAATAATGCAAACCTCCAAGTTCCGGTTGTTTATCCCAAGCATCTCTTAAACGACCAATAATAACAATATTACTAAGAAATGGAAGCTAAATACAACATGTATTCTTTTTTTTTTTTATTTCTAATAAATATTTTTTAAAATATGATATACTTGTTTTTCTTTGATATGCTCGAATAATGTTTGAATAGGATATTCATGATGATCAACAGCACCACCACCACTTCCTACTGATAAAATTCGGTTAGGTTTTTGATGATTACGTGGTTGAGCCATGATATTTAAGTTAAATGCTTAATTCACATTGAATGTCTAATATTACCATCATTTTGTTTTACAATGTCATAGTAACTGACTCTATAAAAATTGATTAGGACGACCTCTATCGTTAGGCTAAATTTCAGTACTGCTTTTTATGTATCGATCAAAAAAAATGCTATACTTGTAGATGATTATTAACATATTCATTTACAATCTATGTTATTTCAAAATAAAATTCTGAAAAAAAATCCTTACAACAAATTTCACTTTCTGTTTTAATTAATTTATTAAGATTTAGTTGTCTTGATAGAAAAATTTGTTTCATGGACAGATTATGTCATGATTAACTAGATAACATTGGGTGTATCTCGTTACAATGAACATACTTTATGGCATATGTAACTATTTCCGATTGTCAACGCATTATATATCCTGTTGTTTCGAAATAGTCAGTAGTCATCTGTCGTGAAAGGTTTAATATATATATATAGACGAACGTCTTGTCAGATCTTCATTTTATTTTTTATTATGCCAGCCCGCTAGTCTTAAACAAATGTTCATGCTAAGAAATGTTAAATGTCTTCACTTCAATATTGTGTATAATTGAACAAAATTTATTTGAAAGAACACTAGATATTTCAAAGTTTTATGGAATTAAGTTATGCTTTTCGCTCAAGCGAGTCATGATCTGTCATACATATATTAGACTACAGACTAAAGTAAATCATTCTTGTAATTAACATTTATTTGAGATCAAATGATTAAATGTAGAATAGGCAAGTAGAAAAGCGAAAGTCTTTTTGTTCAGAATTAAATCATTCGGATAGCATTCTATAAATATATATGTCAGTCTTTTAATATTTTGAAACATTTTTTTATCATATTACTTTTTATCATTTGCAAAATTGAATATGTCGTGTTCCTCTTACTAATGTTGATGCCGTTCTCTATTTGCTTTTTTGTATTCAAGTAGAATGAGAACCCTAGAGGCTATTACACAGTAAAAAATCCATCGATCATTCAATTGAGATATCTCACTTGAGAACATCAGTTTTTCCTGTCATCATTAACATTTGAAAACTAGACAATAGTTCAATATTCGAAAACTAAAGAAAAAAGAAAAGATACCTGTTGCATAATCTTCTATATGCTAATTTCTTCGTTACGAATTTCCATATTTTGTTTAAGAAAATTTCTATCATAACGATCATTCCATTATTAGTTTGTCTTATTTCTTAAAGCATCCATTTAATGTAAGTAGTATAATAAATAATTCATCAATTATAATTGAAAACTATCTTGATACTGTGACAAGATAATAGATACAATTTTGGTGAAAAACAAAAATAAAGAATATTTAATTTGAAAAAGAACACACAATAGCGACTGCAAATGCACTAAATACAAATTAATTATTTTTTTTCTTTTTTTTTCTCATCTACCGATACAAATCAATGTCGATAAAATTGACTATACCGAATAAACTACAGTTTTATCGGTAGTGCAAGCATGCTTTCCGAACGACACACAATCGTTATTTTCTTGAAAAGAGAGACAAAATTCTTTTCCGGTTTTTTT